TGCGATTGGTGTTGCTATCTGCCCGAACCTACTACGGGCAATACGAGCTTCCGAGGCAACGAAATCGGCCAAGTCCTTAAAAACGACGTCCCGCCCGTCTTGAACAATTGAATCGGCTGTTCTTGCCCATCTGGTTCGCAGTGCATTTGGGAGAACACAGACTATTCGCTCAATAGTAGCCACGGAGACTAAATCGGCAGTAAAGTTCATCTGAGACAAGGCCACATAACAATTGTCCAGTTTTATGGAGAGACGCGACAAAGCGTCATGACCCCATCAAGCGGTCTCAACCCAGTAAGCAGACGTTCGATTAGCAATCAGGCAACAACGTGACACTGGCCAAACAGTTCACGGAGTATGGATCTGGCCTTGTGATACGCCTGTTCAGGAGGCAGCATTACACACTCGCTTATAGCCTCTTTTGCACGACCTTTGCAATAATAAACTAAATAGAGCAACCGCTGCCCACCGTCACTCACCCGGGTCTCGACAAAGTATTCGAACTGCTTAATGAACCTCCAGTAAGCTGTCGGATTACCATCAAAAATTCCAACTCAACCTTAGGCAAATCTAATGACGTACGGCAAGCTACCGGTAACGGTTGGTGATATGACATGGGCGTAATTATCGGTGGCGCGGTCTCTTGACAATCATTCAAAAACTGATTCATGCGATCCACTCCGACATCAGGTACGTAATTGTAAGCATTCAGGTGATCAGGGCAATCAACATTCTCTTTCATTTCTAGTCGTAACCTAGCCATCTCTAACTCTGTCTCAGCTTGCTGTCTCTTAAGTTCTGCTAGCCGTAAAGCTACACGCGGATTACTCTTACGACTACTGTGCGAACCAGAGCAAGAAACAGTGTCACCAACGGGGGACAAATTTTGAACTTGCAGGGATTCCTTCATGTCTTCCTTGGCATCGACGGAGGGCTTCTTATTCTTAGGCATTGTGCGATCCTAGAGAGAAGTTGTCCAAGGCGAAGAGAAGTTGCAAATTCAGGGACCATTAAGCACTGTAACGCTACAAGGCGTTTGGAAATTTAAGCTACGCGTTCCCCACCGAAAAATTCAAAAAAAGACCAGATCCGGACATGAGAAAACGGTGCTATTTGTACTAATTCATCGTACCAAAGTAGATATTACCTTAACGGTTTTCCAAACACAAAAGTTTACCAACAGCTTTCAATCAGTTCCACAAAAGTTCCGTACGCCAAGGTGCACACGAAACAAATGAACACAGAGGTGAGACCGAAGTTATGATAAAGCAATTGAGCCAATCGTAAGCGTCCGCCAACGGGAACGGGCTGAGGACAGACAGACCTGCCACACTGGATACATGAGTTGTGGGAACACAAAATAGCTTATGTCAAGAGAACAATGACAGGTCCATGGGGCGGGGTGAAGTTAAGATGAGTCGCCGGGGTCACTCGCTAAGAGCATCGGGGCAGAGAACAAAGGAATGGAAAGTAAGGGAATTAGCAAACATAATCGATCCAGACGGCCGAGCAATGTAGAATTGGGCATTCAACATGGGAGAGACTGAGGTGGTCAAAGTTCTTTCTACACTTGCATGCTTCAGCCACTCAGAAAGTCACCGACCCAACAGAGTATCTTCAAAGCAAGATCCTTTCCTCGGAGTTTGAGAAGGAGTCGACCATGGGGAACACTTTCAAATGTCTTGCGGAAGTCACCAAACATGACATACAGATGATGGCAAGCATCCAGCGATCTCGTCCGTTTTCTTTGGCGCCAAGAAAGTTAGAGACACAAGAATGTACCTTCCGAAAACCAGGTTGAGTGCATGAGGTGATATGCAGTTTCCCCAGGGATCTCTTAAAATTCTTTCCATGACTTTACCAATTATCCCTGTCAGACAGATCGGCCGATAGTTTGTAGGAGCTTGAATATCTCCTCCCTTGTGTATGCATACTAGTGTTACAAAATTTTGTGCGGTCATTGCAGTCCATACCCGCATATAGTGGCTTCAAGTACCTACGGAAATGGCACGTACTACGTAATACTTATGGCTTTATTGCGGCATTCCGATGTAGGTATTGGTACTGTCCCCTAACGTTACTGCAGAGTACTGAAGCGTTTCATTCTGCAATTCACCAACTACGTATTGCTTGCACCATGCACACGCACTTGCACGCCCAAGAATAGCTCTTAAGACTGCAATAAGACCTTATGACATCAGCGAATATGCACTAAAACCTAAGTTACGAGCCGATGTTCCATACCAAGAAGAAGCAATTGAATAGAAAAACTTTTACCTCGCTTTCCGGAAAGGACAAACACTTGCACTGGATGAAAGAAATGAAGATGCACTTTAGCTCTGAATAAACATCTGGATGAACATCTGTATGTCCGTAGTTGATGAGACGGAATAACTTTGGGGAAGTAGAACGCCACAGCCGCACAACTTTGCACGCACACCAAAGTATTACGAATGCCCACCATCACTGTCGATTGGTTGACAACCAATAACGGTACTATCCGGATGCGCATCTGTCACAACGAATGGCCTGATCGGTTCACGATGCAAGGGTGGCATGCCACTGGAGTGCTTACGTTGAGTCAAGGCATCCGTCTGACGGTAGTCGCGAATACGCAGTCTTCTCAACAAATAGTTGAAACACCTGAAACTCTGGCATACGTGGACCACGAACAAGACGGCGCAGCTTGAGAAGGTGAGGCTCGAATGTAAAAGCTGAATTGGAGTCCAGTGGTCTAAATTCACATGCGAAATTGCACAAATGCAGTAAGCGATAGACGTTAACCACTAACGCTTGGTGACAGTATATGTCGTCAACTTGATCACCCGTCTTACTAGTGGTTGACAATGTTAGTGGGAAATAATATTCGCAACTTTACTTGCAGCACAACGTATACATCATCAAGGAGAAGCTCAAGAGTTTCTCACACATAGTAGGATGAACGTTACCATGCATAACAAGAGGACCAATGTGTAGCTGGACCCGCCGATAACCTAGGGCTTTCCATGGAGCCGCACCTACGAAACTGCGGCACTTGCTGGGGAAGCTACCGTCAGTGACGAGCGGTATTCATCCATCCAGTTGTTCACTTCCGATATCTGCTTGACAGACAGGCGTACTTCCTTGCATGTGGGGATGTCGCGATACAAAGTAATCAAACACAACATGAATCCAAGCAAATCCGTGTGCATGTAATCTAGAGAAAAAACTTATCCTGTCAATGCGAACTGCCTCAAATACGGAACCACCAGCCTGATGTTCTACGTGAAGACTCAGACGGTAATCTTCATAACTCCTTGGCATGGTACCCGTGCCCAGTGGGAACGTCATGTGGCCACCTATCTGCACACCAACAGTAAGTTGTTGATAAGTAAGTGAAATTGGATACTAACCGGTAACCGTACATTTCTCGCATGCGTAGTAACCGGAATGCTACTTCATCTGTCGGATGTATGCCCTAGCCGCAACATCCGCCATTAGACACTTCAAGGAAATTGTCAAACAAAAGACTTCCCGGAGATATACTGATCCTAGGATGCATACCATCTCTTAGCTCATCAATGGTTGGTCCTAGAAAATGGTGTACATCTAAAGGTTTCGACAAGCCGAAATAAAATCCCACGCTGCAAAAGGATCAAGGCGGATCCGTGTGTCTAGCCAAGACAGGTCATAATTGCTTACGCGAACGGCGAAACCGGATGACCTCATATACGTGCTACTGAAGCTGCAACTTCAACATGACCTTAGAATCACCGGTTCGTAACAGGCGACTTAATCATATAATCGTCCCAAGGTGCAGGTGATCGTCACCGATAACAACAGTAACCGGACATCCATGTGACGCACCGAGCAATGTGCGCCAATCGCACGGCAATTCAGGTTGAAATGCAGGATGGCGCCGAAGCATCAGATATATCTTTCTAGCTGGTAAATATACATCATTTGCGACCCCGCGGCAGATTGCAGTAATGCTTGGCAACTGCGACGTTTATATCACAGTTAGTAACTCTACTGACACTGCTTGAAGCATGTTACGTCTTTGGAAAGTTCGCTTACTGATAACATACTACAAAAATTGTGCCTGTAAATTACGTGAACCGGAAACAACGATGTCCACGGAATCCATTAACGGCTATGTGGAGGTACGGACGACTTTTCACTGCTTCTGGAAAGCGAGGGGCACATAATCCGTCGGGACTTGATTGGAGAAGCATATGAAGAATTTAACCAAGGCAGTACGTGTGCATTCCAAATGTAGCATGGCTCTACATTACGGTACCGCAAGCATGTTTCATGAAACGATAAAGGTTAGACCGAGAGCCACCAGTATAAGGTCTTCGAGGTAGGCGAGGCATAACTACAAAGTTTCGCCAGGATAGCAATAGCTTGAAAACGTCCGATATATGATTTTCTGATACAGTTAAACAAACGTTCAGTGTGGGCTAACCAAATGTGCAACATCATTTGGACAGAAATACTTGTTATCAAGGTTGGAGCTAAATTGCCTGTACAGTTTCCTTCAGCTTTAGTCAATATTTCTCTAGTGACCAACAAGATTCCCAAATGGGACGCTCGACCGTCCACCTGTGCCAACGGGATAGAGCTTGTTTGTATATAAGGCAAACATTTTGCAAACAATGTGGTCATCATCTGGGATAATGGGCCTTCTGATTTAGTGGAATGTGAATCTGTAAACGCCTTCAAACGTGGCTTACATGAGTGTTGGTCAGACCTTTACCCATTGATATTGTAATTGTACAGGAAAATGCGGTATATTCTGCTGCTGACACATAAAAGTACAATGGTTGCTCTTGTTCTTGCTTCATTGCTTTGCAGAAGCAAACTGAGTCAATCAAAAGTCGAATTGCTCGGCACAAGAATCTGGACGCTCGTTAAGCGGAAGCCTCTATCGTCCATTGTACCTGACCCGAGCTGCTCAAAGGTTGTATTTATCTTTAGCAAGATTAACTTTTTCTACGGAGAACGTAAAATAAGATGCATTTTAAGGCTCTTTAGCTACTTACACTTTTAATGATATGCAACAATACTTGTGTTGTCATACTGTTATGAATTGTCAAGGTTGCGCCGTATATCAGGTATTTTTACTTGTCTGTTCGCTACATGAATTCGGTCCAGGTGAGCGCTTAACTTTCATTGTAGTCAATGCAGACCAAAGCTTTTGCTTTTATCCCACAAATTACCGATCAAATTGAGACAGCTGTGGTTCAAGAAAAGGATACAGCCTATTTGAATTGTACCACTGTGATAGATGAGGGCCAAGAATCAGTAAGAAATAAGTGATGCTTACTTTATTGTATTCTTGGTATGCTATGCCGTGATGTTTTAGGTGGTTTTATAAACATGCCTGCATAACACGAGCGTCCGAACACTGTCCGCTTTTATGACTGGGGGAGCACCCAGACCTGAGTGACCAATTTTGAGCCACTGACCTCTCTAGTGCTGTGCATTTGGTACGATTTTCGCTCGTTTCTGTATAGCTTTAACATGTTTTGTAAATACATTTAGCATAACATCTATTCCTCTGCACAAAGCGGAAGTCGACTCCCCAATCATTGACCCAAAATACTGACGCTGCAAGCCTAGACCGAAAATCATTTAAGGTGATCGAAATTCATTCCTTATAACAGAACTGACCGAGTTTTGTGCACTGGGTGGCTGTTGGAACGAAGTGACTTATCTTTATGTGTGCCCCTGGCCTTCCTAGTACGACAAAGATGAAAACAAAGTTTGCTTACCCATAAGCTTTTGGGTTCAGCCTTATGCCTGGTAATTTTTGGTCGTATATATCTTTCACAGTTAGCAGAACTCGCTTTCCTACTGGTCACAACAAATAACCAATTACCTACTTTTCCATAAAAATTGTTTAATGAAAATATATTTTAAAGCAACGTTATAGAAAGTTTTCTAGTTACCGAACTGCGCTAAAAATGTGTCTCAATGAGGCGGCAAGCAGCACAAACAATGGTCACACATGGCGCTCAATGGTCACACAGGCGTACAAAAATTGGTCCTTTTATGATGCGGGTTAAGCGCTTGGTAGGCTCCGGAAATTCCTAAATGGTTTTAGGTAGATTTACTAAATCCCATTTAGCAGGTCGTCTCGCATTACACGGGTGACCGTTGGAACACCCTAGATGACCAAATTGTTACCCTCGACCGTCCCAGTGAGACACGTTTCGAACGAATTGCAATGGCCCATTAGTTCATTGGGTTGTATGGAGCAGAGAGGTGAACCCTTGTCAGCTCCGTTGATTCTTATTTAATGTAAGATAGCTGTGTGTCGTAGTGCGACGACGTTCTTCGAAAGCTGGTGGCAGTGGTAGCGAGAGCAGCGGGATCCCAGATTCTTCATTAAGTGGTTAGCTAAAAGACTCTTAAGACATTCCTCAAAAGGTGCGTCAACAATTTTCGTCGGTAAACCGTTCTACTCATTCACCACCTGGATGGACAAGGTAAGCTCTGAGCCAGCGTGGAGCCTACGTGGTTGGAACGACTTCCATTTGTGACCTCTTGTTGAGCAGTCGGCGTTGAGGTGGAAGAATTGCAGCAGCTCTTTCTCGCGTTCACCACGAAGGATGCGTCTGGTGTAGATGAGGTCACCGCGCCCACGGCTAAACTACATGGAAAATACGTTCAGCTGGTGAAGTCGAAGAGGGTAAGGAAGAGCGCGGAGACCGATGATAGCTTTCGAGGCACGTCACTGGGCGTTTTCTATCAAAGAGTACTCAAACTTAAAGAGGGAAGAAACTGCTGACTGCCCATATTCTAGTATGGGACGTACGCATGCGGTAAATGGAGGTCGGAATATCTCAGGAGTCGTTCGAAAGAACGACCTTAAGGGGACTAGAAGTCTTTTTGCAGCTGCGACCTTCTTCATTGTGTCCTGGGACGTCCTAAGGTCAGAGGATACTATGACCCAGAGATCATTTTCTTGCGTGGTGTTCTTGAGAACATTTTCACTATTGTGGTATATGCCGTACCGGTCAGTTTTGCCCACTGGGAGAACCGCACATTTATCACGATTTACAGGTAAACGTCACTTGGTAGACCACTCGTGCAGCCTATCTACAGCCTCTTGTAATCGGCATCGTCTAGGTTACATACTGTTGTTCAGAGCTTAAGATCCTCAACGTAGGTGAAGAAGCCGGTTTGGAGCGCAACCGGGAGGTCCTTTATATACATTTTGAAAAGTTCTGGTCCAATTACGAATCCTTGTGGGACCCAACTTGTCATTGGTACAGGGGCGGATATGCTTTGATTAACCTTTACGCGTAGGCTGCGGTCTCTTAGGAAGTAAACGAAGACTTTGCCCGTCACACTGATCTCCTAAAAGTTGAGCAGCAGTCAGTGGTGAGGAAGTTTTCCAAAAGGTTTGCTGAAGTCGATGAAGATCACGTCTTTATGTTTTTGGGCATCTATGGTTTGTGCCCAAATTTCTCTGGCTACTAGCAAATTAGAGATTCATTTACGCGCTTTTCGGAAACCATGGTGGGATGAACAAATTAAGTCTTAGTTCACATAGTGTAGCTGGAGCGCGCTTTTGAGGATGCGTTCCATGGTCTTGCGGACGAAAGATGTCAGGCAGATTGCGCGATAGTTCCCTGGAGCCTGGTGGTCTCCGCCCTTGTATTTGGGTAGCACAGTGCATTCATTCAAGTCAATGAGTAAACGGCCGACTTTGTGGGAGTGGATAAATATTTGCCAGAGGGGATCAGTGATGTATACTGCTATAGTCTTAAGGATTATGGGATGCAGCTTATCTGGGCCAGAAGAAGAGTTCAGATCCAGTTCGAGAAAGAGCTTTACCACCACCTCAGGGTTGATTTCGATTTGATCAAAAGAGGGACAGTGTGCAGGCAGGGAGTTTCTGCGAATTTGGGCTCCGTTGATTAGACTGAAGAGTACTGCGAAGCTAATATGTTGGCTTTTGCTTCGTCATTGTGCTGCACAGTGCGTTCTTTGGAGAGTAGCGTAGGAATCCTACTACCCGCCATGACATTTCTTTTCAGGTATGAAAAGAGTTTCTTGGGACAATTTGGAGATTCCGTGGCCAGGCCGATTTCTTACTGAAGCCGCCTGTTGTGCTTTTTCGGAGTGCAAAGGTGTTTTGCAGTCTTGTACGCTGAGTAGCACTATGCCCGTTGTGTGGACTTGTAGTGATTCCACAGTTTCCGATTTTTTCTTAAGAATCTGCTTTCTCTAACAATCCAAGGGGCTTTGAAGTTTGGAACTTGTTGTTCGATGAGAAGCCTAATCTTGGATCGTAGTAGTTTCCACGCACCGTCGAGATCCAAAGACTGCGGAATATTTCAATCCAGGGTGCTTTCCGCTGCCTTTAGTTTGGACTGGGCGGCTCGCCAGAAATGGCAACGACGTGACCCCTGGTCATGAATTAGAAGGCATCATGTCCATTGGAAGATGACAGAATAAGCACTCTTGCCCAGCAGATCGATGATCGTAAGACCGGAGACGTCCGCTAGGACCAGAGTGAGCACCAGGTCCAGAATGCGCGACACTTGACCTCGAAGCATCCGCGTTGGTCTTAGGAAGTGCTTCGTGAGGTTAGTTTCGAGGACGGTGTTTAGTAGAAAACCTTTTTCCAGCGCACAATTAACATGTAGCTTAAAGACATTTGTTGGTTGAAAGTACCGTCACCAATAAGCGGAAGTCGTTTTCCAAATTGCGATTACGCAATGCTATATTCATAAAGTTGAATCGAAGTTTTCTGAGTGACCAAATTTCGTCCCAAAGGTGTTCAACTGAGACGCTTTCACTAACAAGTAGAAGTATAAGCAAAGAACTGCAATTTTAAAACAGTAGCATAATGGTTAACAACATATCTGGTTATATTACGGCATGTATGTGCATGTTTAGCGTTTGCCTCTGCAAGTGGCTAAAACATGCCCAAATGGAACTGCTGAATGTCCACTTTACTTTAGTTCTTTAGTTGTTTCTTCGTATTAGCTGTTACGGCAATGCCCTTTTGCGAGCATGCATAAACCGTTCCTAGGTTTAGTACACCATTCACAATAACTTGTAGAACTAGATACTGCTAGTCCAATAAGAAGCGCGTACACAAGCGCGGATATCAGTAAGCAACCTAAGTCGGACACAGCGGATTATATTTTATGGGCTAAAAGATAGCGTGGACGGATAAATCGAGATAATAGCACTCCTTAGCATGGTAACTTCGGAGCAGACGTGTAATGAGCTGTATGTTGGCCAACATGCTCACCGTACAAGGTGGATTGAAAGGAGAAAGATTAATGTACAACTGAGAAGCAATAAACTAAGAACTGTCTTTTGGAGATCTGCCAGCTTGTAACATAGTGAAACGAGTTTCATGTACCTAAGGTTTAGTGTTGCAATCAACATCTTGCATGACCTTAATAGTATTCATGGTTTTTTTAAACGGTGGACATCTGTAGACTTTCATTATCAGCACCTCTACGTCCAAACAAATTTCGGTGGATGAGGAAAACAGATTTTCTCCGTGGTGTGAATTATGCCCTACGTAGTGTCTCAATAGGCAGTTCGTAGTATGAACATATTGATTCAAAATAATAGCGGTAGTCTTCCTTGCAATAAAGCTAATAAGTGCAAAAAACCAGCTTTTGCTGGCCTATAGACTTCAAACATCTAATGAGGTTGACATGGTTATAAAGTCCAGGTAGAGCACGTTACAAAGTTTTACATCCCTTTAGTTTTGTCATGACTAGAAATGGTGTTTAGCTAATTTCTACAGCTGCAAGAAATAAATATGTTGTTTTTGCAGTTGAACGATTTTGTACGTTCATTGTAACATTTAAGATTAGTAATTATCAGCCTACATCGGGGAGCGTGTTGGAACAAATGTAGAGGACAGAAGCATGCGGCGGCACACTAACGCACCGAGCAAGCTAATATAAAGCCATATGTAAGCGAATTTGGAAGAAGTAAAGTGAACTTAAATTGTGTATGACGGCATTGTAATATAGCTACACAAAAATGATGAAAATTAGTTGTCGGTTAGTCATTTACCTTTATTACTTCTGGTTAAACTCCTTTGCTCTAATTAAGTCATTTGCGAGAACAAGCATCTTGTTTTTTTTCAAACGTTCGTTAGTACAAAGGTGAAAGTAACGTTAGCAGTTGCATAGATTGTATCATGAAGTGTGAGTATTTCTAATTGCTTCGAGTGGCTCGGACTGCAGTCAGCGTATACATACGTAGTTTAAAGTAAAGAACAGCATCTTTTCGATTTATCAGCTAAATCGCGAAACAAT